TCCCTCCTATGATAGAGGATACCCCATTAATCTCGATATATAGTATACTATAGTATACGTATCATATATATATAATAGCTATATGAATGATATATAGTATATACTATATATATAATATTATATATATATATATATAGTATATAATATATACTATATATATATATATATATAATATATATGATATAATATATATAATATAATGATATATATAAGTAAATATATATATAATATATATATATATTAATATATATAATATATAAAAAAATATGAGATTAATGGGTATCCTTGTCATAGGAGGAGATTTCCTCCTTAACGCCTATGTGGCACAATCCCAACCATCCTCATAACGTAGGCACAAATCCCCACCAACTCACTCTCTCTCCTACTTTATGAGGATGGTGGGGATTGTGCCACATAGACGTCAATGAGAAAATCCCTCCTATGACAATGATACCCATTAATCTATACACACACACACACACACACACACACACACCAAGTTCTCTTTTTAAAAATAAAATATTTTCTTTTAAATATTTTTTAAAAATTATTTGCAATTTGATTACAAAAAAAAACAACAATCATCTTTTAAAAACATGAAAACAAAAATGCTCAAAATTTATTTTGAAAATTAAACTTGTTTTGGCACCCAAACACTCTTGGTGCCTAAGAGTTTAAGAACATAATGACCCCTATCAATATAATCCAAAGTCCTTAGGTTATGACCACATTTGGGCGCATTTAGTGAACGAGTCCGATCATAGCAAAAATTACATAAATGACCCATTCTATTGCAATAAGTGCAATAGAATAGATGCACTTATTTATGATGACCATTTATTTGTGTACGAGAAACATTTTTAAACAAATGTGGTCTTTTTGGAACATTTTGCGAAGTTGAATCTTTTTGCAAGTCAATACAATAATTCGCCAAATGGCCAAATCTATCACAAAAATCATACTTATACACATTTGCATGCTTATGAACTTTTGATGCATGTGTGTGTATGTAAAGAAGAAACTTTATGAGATACACAAGGAGCAATATTGTTGGCATTAGTGGGTTTTTATGCATCATAGCAAAATTTGGCAAAATGTCCTCTACGACTACAAATAAAGTATTTGTAAATTATGTCATACATGTGTGCATAGTGTACGGGTGGTTTGGAAAATTTTTTGCACGTGACTTTGCACACAAGTCCATAAGTTTATTATTATTGTCAATGCATGTGTTTAAGGTTGAATCTAAAGATGAAATACGTTTTTTTCATTTTATTCAACTCATTATGCACATTTGCATTGGCGTTAGAAGTAGAACAAACATGATTATTTTTAAAAGAATTAAATTCATTTCTAATTATTTCTACCTCTAATATGGCATCATTCTTAGCATGAGATAAGCTAGCTATTTTTTAGCTCAAATTATGATTTTCTAAATTTAATTTATCAATTTTTTTTAAGTATCACATTCTCCTTAGGAATGATATCAAATTTGGATGCTAGCAAATCATGATCGGATTTTAGGTTTACATGATTGCTTTGCAAATTCACAAAATTATGATGCAATTTATTATAGGCATGCATTAATCTTTCATAAGCACAAGCGAGTTAATCTATAGATAAATTATTTTAGATTCAGACTGGCATACCTCACTAGGGTAACCGCCTAGTGGCCGTGTGCACGATGAACCTCCAATCTCACTTGAAGCGGAATCCACCGGAATGCGTTGGATTTTCTCTAAGTTGCCGTGATGTGCTTCTATATATTTCCATAATGTATAAGAGCTATCAAAAGAAGCAAGTTTGTTAGAAATAGATGGTTCAAAAGCTTTAAGAAAAAATTCTAACAACAACTTGTTCATAGTAAATATTATTATTATTGCTCCACTTGGATTTCTCTAATGTGGGCACCATATAAGCACAATTAATTATTTCCCATAAATTGATATGTTTTAGATCTAACAAATAGTTTAAATCTAAACATCCATTGCGTATAAGGGAAATTATTAAATAGAGGAGCAACATCAATAACATAGTCTAAACTAGGTGCACCGTGTATATCCATAAAGACTATGCAAGCAATAAAAATCAAAAAACTAGATTAGCAAAATATAGAGTGAGGATATTTGACTCTAGGCGATTAAACAACAAATCAAGAGCACCAAGCTCTGATACCAAATGAAAGTACCATAGAGGGTGGGTGAATATGGTAATTGCTAATCTAATTCGATATTAATGTCAAATTAAAACTAATGATGCAATATCCTAACAATATGATGTACAATAAATTATATGCATGGATATGCAAGGATAAACAATATGACAAAAGGCGATATAAACAAGAAGCACAAGATATGAATAGAAATAGTGCGCCAAAGAAATAATTGCAAACACACAATATGATCACGGAGTTTGGTCTAACACTCGACCAACGTCTCCGCTCCTCACCTCGAGGAGATCTCCATTATCACTAAAAAATAACTACACAATAATAGTTTTTAACGTTTACAATACACACGTTGTCAATCCCACAAGCCACACTCCTCTAAGTGTTGGACTACCCGTGTCACCTTCCTCAAGTGTTTGGATTTACAATCTCTCCCTAGGCTTTACTACCAACCCACTCCTCTTGGAATTAATCTTGGTCTCTCTCCAACCACTCCTCTAAGTGTCCTTGTGCATTATAACGTGTTATCACAATGAGTGCAAATAAAGGATTTGTTCTCCAATACAGATGAGAACGAATGTAAGCTCTCTCAAGGAATCACTCTCACAACCCAAATATACTAAATGTGAAATACTAAAGCTCAAGTGGTTGTGAGTGAAATCAATAAGTAAAACAAAATTTAAACTCAAATAATTCTAGCTTGTATATGAGAATCAAAATATGAATTAGCTAGAAGAATGAGTTTAGAAAACTTTCCCAAACAAAGAGATGTAGAGATTTAAGGATGAACGTCTCAAAATCGAAATTGAAATTCTTCTCTTTGTGAAACTCTCTTTACATAAACAAAACACACTTGATATCTCAAAAACTTGCAGCAAACACCCCAATAAACTTCTTAGCAACAAAACAATGCTTGAGATCTATTTATAGCCTCTCTAAAATAACTCAGCCAAAACTACCCGTTACAGGAATATAACCGTTGATTGGTCGACTGATATAGTTGTTCGGTTGGTTGATCAACTTACAAATTTAATACTGTAAAAACTACTCATGGTTGGTCGACTGGTTTGGGCTATCGGTTGACCGAAAACATGCACATCAGATTTCTAAATTTTGAAATGTTGATTTTCTAAATTTAATTTAAAATAGTAAAATAACTCCAAGTCCATACTTTACTCTTCTTTACCTTACCCTCTAAATACTCTCAACCAAAAGAGATTTTTAATTTTGTCTCTTTCTTTGCTTTACCCAACTTCCTACTAAACCAAGCCTTATGGCTGTTTGGATGTTTAGAGGAGTGTTGGGTATTTATGATACCAAATGGGATCATCCACCTCACCACTTTTCATTTGAGTATTTACATCTTTTGGTTTGAATATCACCATAAATCCTAAAATGGTAATATTACAATGTTTGGATTGCATCATGCGATCTTACAAAGTGCAGTCTTTGGAACATCATTCAAAAGGTTAATTTTAGCAATGATAAGATTACCTCAGCAGAACACCGAAAGAAAATCTCTTAAGTTTGCGCATTCCTTAATAACCCCCTTCACTTTAAAATTAACACAAAACCCCGTTAAGTTTCTTTACTCTTTAGAATACCCCCTCTAAGTTTCAATGATTTTTTAGAAAACCTCCCATAATAGGGTTAGCTGTAATTTTCATATAAAATTACGTAGAATGATGTTTTCACCTATGAAAACTATGATTCACGCTTTTTAGGGAGCTTTTCAATAAGCGTTGAAAATTGAGGGGAGTTTTCTGAGAACCACAAACAGTAAGGAGATTTTTCTGTCGTTTTGAAAGTTAAGGTGAGTTATTTGAGAAACCCCCGATGTTAAGGTTGTTTTCTGAAATTTAACTACATTTTCTTGTTGGGGCCTGTTCGTTTGGCCAAAAAAACTGGGAAATCAAACTTTAGGAAACCTATTTCCTATTATAATTACTTTGAAGTTGTTTGGTTGGTTTTAAAAAAAGGAAATTATAGAATAGGAGATGAGATGAGATGAGTTGTCACCTTATTATTGGATGATGTGAGTGATTTTTTTAAAAACTTGTTTTGAGGTTGTTTGGTTGGTTAAAAAAATAAGGAAATGAATTGGAGGTATATTATTGGATGATGTTTTGAGGTTGTTTGTGTTTGGTTCGTTTTTAAAAATAAGAAAATAGATGAGATGAGATGAGTTGGAGGTATATTATTGGATGATGTGACATGTACTTAACTTAAGGAAATTAATTTCTTGTTTTTTTTTGAGGAAATGGGTGGAAAGGAATGTTTAATGAGATGAGATGAGTTGTCACAATATTATTGGATGATGTGTGTGATTTTTAAAAATGAGATAAAATGAGATGTGATGAGTTGGATGATGTGACACATTTCTTGTGTTTGGTTTATTTTTAAAGGTAAGAAAGGAGATGAAATGAGATGAGTTGGAGGATAAAAATAACATTTTATTGGATGTTGTGGGTGAGTTTTAGGGATGAAAATGGATAAAAATATTATTTTATTGATTTCCTTGTACCGATTTCCTTTTCTTGGTTTTTAGGAAACCAACCAAACAGCCCCTTGAGGAAGCTCTCAGCATACATTTCTTCAACAGTCCATTATTTCCGTTAATTACCAAAATAATTACGTACAGTTATGAATCGCACACAGATTGTTGTTCTCGTTCGAATGCCTACCCACAAATAAAATGTCACGGACCAGGAAAAGGACATACACCTGAGACGTGCGGGTGAGTTTCCATTTATTATAGTTTAATCTCTATCATGTCCCACTCTCCAGAAGATTCTACCACCCTCGCTATTCTTTTAAACCAAGCCAAGAAATGCTTAGAGAACCGGGAAAGCCAAAAAAAAGAAGAAGAAAAAAAAAAAGAATACAATGGAGAAGATGAGGAAATCTGGGTCCGTACTTCTCCTTGCTTTTGCCCTCGTTCTTGCTTCCTTAGCCTCTGCGTCCTCCTCTTCTTGTTCGGAGGATTCTGCTCTGGAGAAGGACAGGGTGCAGACTAATTTGCTAGGGCAAGACTTCAACGTTGAATTTGCCCATTACTCTGGTTACGTAACAATTGATGAGGAGGCAGGTAGAGCTCTCTTTTACTGGTTCTTTGAGGCCGCTGAGGATCCTGCATCCAAACCTCTCGCTCTCTGGTTGACTGGGGGTATGCCCATGGAAAAACAATTTACCTTTTTTTTTTTAACTGGGTTGTTATTTATTTATTTTTTTAATTATTTGCATTTGAAGTTCTTTTTTCCAGTGAATAAGCTGATGTTTTTAAGATGTTATTAACCTGTTAACTTGAGGGAGAGTGGGGGAACATTATCACTGATGCTCATTGTAATGTGTCCCTCTCTTCTGAAATTATTCAAAAAACCAATTTCTGTGAAGAAATGAATTTTTTTTTTTTAATTTTCAGTGAGTTTTGTGTTGAATAGCTGGGGGAGGAAGAAAGGGATTGAGAGGGGTTTTAAGTTAACGTTAGCTGAAGTTTGGTGCGTTTTTTTTTTTTTTTTTTTGGGGGGGGGGGGGGTTGACTGGGGGTATGCCCATGGAAAAACAATTTACCTTTTTTTTTTTAACTGGGTTGTTATTTATTTATTTTTTTAATTATTTGCATTTGAAGTTCTTTTTCCAGTGAATAAGCTAATGTTTTTAAGATGTTATTAACCTGTTAACTTGAGGGAGAGTGGGGGAACATTATCACTGATGCTCATTGTAATGTGTCCCTCTCTTCTGAAATTATTCAAAAAACCAATTTCTGTGAAGAAATGAATTTTTTTTTTTTAATTTTCAGTGAGTTTTGTGTTGAATAGCTGGGGGAGGAAGAAAGGGATTGAGAGGGGTTTTAAGTTAACGTTAGCTGAAGTTTGGTGCGTTTTTTTTTTTTTTTTTTTGAGGGGTGGGGGGAGGAACTTTTCAGGATTCAAAGTTTGAAACCGGTGAAACTTTATGGTGTTAAATTGAAAATGGGTTAGGTGGTGAGTCAGGGGGTTGAAATTTCAAGGAGAAACTGAACTTGGGAAAGGGGTTTTGATCATTTTGGTGAATGGAGGTTTGTCCGTACGTTGAAGGTGGAAAATTTTCCTTCTGCTCATAATTGTTGAGCTCGTAAGAGCTGGGCTTTAGCTTTGATTCTAGTCATACTGAGCTATTTGAATACTCAGCGATTGTTCTGTTGACAAGAATACTCACAGAAATGGCTCAGCTTTGTTATCTTGGTGAATTTGGGTTTTGGGTTTTGGGGGGTAACACTATGATAAAAAGGTGCTGTATTCAAACTGGCTGCATCAAAGAACCAGTTGGTTTGTTGGTACTTAAACCGTTGCTTGCATCTGCACTATTGGCTTCCTTGCATTAAAGAAACAATGTCATAATTTTCTGATATAAACATTATTACAATTTCAGGGCCTGGATGTTCTGCAATTGCTTATGGAATGGCAGAGGAAGTCGGACCTTTCCATGTTAAGCCAGACGGCAAAAGCCTCTATTTGAATCCTTATTCATGGAATCAAGGTGAAGACAAATGTTTATATCTCTTCCTTCAAATATATATGACTATGGGCGACAGCTTAAGTTTTGTGCATCTCATAGTCATAGATATAAGAACCCATTTTTCTTTTAATTTTTTTTCTTCTTCTTTTTAAGTTGAATGCCAATATTTCTGCTGACCAAGCAAAGAGAAATCTGTGACTCTAGTTGTTTGATTGGCTAGATGTGTTTCTCAAGCCATATGCATTTGTTTTCTATCTCTATAATCAATAAAGACAAACTAAGCGTTATGCTTTCTTCCTCTGTTCGTCCTTTCTATTAAACAAAATTCCGATTGGGGTGTTACTTTTAATCACTCCAATATCCATTGCAGTCCTAGTGATTGTGATGTAAGTTGCATTCGGTTATTGATTTGATTATGTACTAGTCATACAATTTTTGTACCCTTTTCTCTAATATTTATTTCAATTATTCTAAAAGTGTATTCCATGTGATTCTATATGATTAATTTAACAACACTTCACAATTGATGTATGCAGTGGCTAATATGTTGTTCCTTGAAGCCCCTGCTGGTACTGGATTTTCCTACTCAAACAACACCAATGATGTGTTGAGTAATGGAGATGAAAGGACTGGTAAGAATGTTGCATCCTACTTTAAAATATGGCCTTAGTTATTAGATAGAGGTTAACTTAGTTTTTCCTCTGTATTCGAGTGCAGCCAAGGATTCCTTAAAATTTTTACAGAACTGGTTCAAACGGTTTCCTCAGTACAAGGGACGTGATTTCTATATAACTGGAGAGAGCTATGGAGGTTTTAGGAGATTACACAACCAATATCATTATTAGAAGAAGCTTCAATTTCTATTCTCATGATAACAAATTTGTAATGTGATCAATATATTTAAACCAATGTTGTTCTTACAAATCTCTGCTCTTTTTCTAGGGCATTTTATTCCTCAGTTGGCCCAAGTTATTGTAAGGTCTCAGAAAGTGACAGGAGACAAATCAATTAATTTGAAGGGTTATTTGGTATTAATCCTTCACGTGAATTTTGTTTTTTTTTTCGTGTCCATAAGGAAAGTTTGGTTCTTTCATAAGTACCTTAAAGCCAAAAGGGAGCTTTACTAAGAAATAAATTGCAGGTGGGAAATCCTGCAACTGATGATTTTCTCGACAATGTGGGAAGCTTCCAATACATGTGGACTGCCGGCTTGATATCGGATGAGACATACAATCTGTTAAATGTTTTTTGTGACTTTGAGTCATTTCTACGACCATCAGAACAATGTAACGAAATCCTTGAAGTTGCTAGCAGTGAACTTGGAAACATTGATTCATACAGCATCTTCACGCCTACCTGTCCCGGGAGTACTAACTTTCCACGGAATAAACTGCTCAAAAGATTACACGTAAGTATTTTCTATAGGAGGTCAAATGCCAATTTTTGCCAATTTTATTTTTTATTTATTTATTTTGCTGTATACAGTCTGCAACTTACTTCCTTGGGCCTGTCAATATTTCAGTTAAAAAAGTATTATCTAGAGGTTGCTAGAACTGCTATCTTGGTTTGATAGTAATGAACTTCATAGAGAAAGAAAAATCTAATACTGCACAAAAGAATTTGTATGAAGGATACAAAAGAATTTGTATAAAATCCTTCATACATTTTCTTGCCACTTTTACATGGAAAAAACTTACAGCATCTAATAATTTATTTTCTACCTTTTTCATGTCAAAGATTTTGCCGATTTAATGTTTTTTTTCTGTAACCATCTGCAACTTACTTGCTTGAGCCTATCAATATTTCAGTTGATAAAAATATGTCAAAAATATGTCAAAAGCTAGAATTACTATCTTGGTTGATAGTAATGAACTTTACTGCTCAAAAGAGTTTGTATAAAATCCTTCATAAGTTTTGTTGTCGCTTTTACATGAAATAAACTTACAGCATCTAATAATTTGTTTTCTACCTTTTCATGACAAACTAATGCAATCCAATGACACATATTCTTTATGTTAACAGTCAGTTGCAAAGATGGGTGAAAAGTTTGACCCATGTACTGACAGATATGCAGCAGTTTATTTCAACTTGCCTGAGGTTCAAAATGCTCTTCATGTTAATCCAGTGGTTGCACCATCTAAGTGGGAAACTTGCAGGTAAGCACATGGAACTTTTAGTAGTGGCATCTACTTTGTGTATGAACAGCAGGTTACATTTGCAGTCAGATTCAATTCTGGTTGCAACTATTGAGTAGGCATCTATGTTGCTGGGTACTTCAATTGGAAGTTGTACACAACCCCCCACCATACCTGTATCCAAATTTCTTGGACACTTCTTGAATATATGCATATGTTTACCAAGGCATATACTTAATTATGTAATACATGTTTAAGTTAAAACACTCCTCATACACTTCTTGGACGTATATTCTACATTTCACATCTATTTTCTTATATATTGATCTTTTCTAAATGAAAAGAACAATATTGATCTTATGTAAGTTATTTATTTTAGTACATATAGATATACGTAACATATAGCTGTGACCCTATACCTTTTACAAATTTAGTATGCCCCGTACATGTACCTGTACCCTTGCAACTTAGGTAGATGTCAATTCTTCCATCTTTTCCAAGTCACACTAAATGGGGCATCCACTTCAATTTCCACAAACTTGAAGATACATTGACATGTTTCTTTTCTAGTAAAGCTCTACTGAAAATTCGTCGGGAACATTTCTAATAATGCCTTTTTTTATTGAGCCTTTTGCTTAACTAGGAACTATCTTCAGTGCCATTATGAGGATTTGATGATGATTAAACAACTGACATTTTCATTTTGCTATAGAGCAACAGATAATAAGGTGACTTGGACAAGAAAAGGGAAGTGACTTGGATAAAAAAGTGAAGCGATTTATAAAAGATAAATGAAATGACCAAGGCAAATCTTTTTTGTCAGTAGCCTTGGATGAGGCTATTGAATATTGCTTAATACATAATCTGTCGAACACTATGTCATGCTCCGGGCCCGCGTGCCTGTTGGTGCTTGCAAGCTATGGGACCCACAGAGTGTAAAGTGATGTTTGGCTCAATCCACTACCAAAATTGTCTAGGCGATGTTACACTTGAACCCCATGACTTATATAAACTCTCAACACTTTCACCCATCCGCTGATGTGGGACTATAATTTGGGGATCTCACACACTACTTGAGAAAGGTTATTTCTTTAAGAAACAAAATGTTCCAAATGTAATTGAAAAATGAAAATTCTTGCTCCTAGTAGATCATTTGTCCTGATTCATGGATCTCACCATTCAAGAAATTAGTAGATCAACCATTCTTTTGACTCTTTCTACACCATGTATCCTTTCAAAGTTCAATCTAACTAAAAATAGCATAAGCCCAATAAAAATTGTCTTTATATTTTGGTGGCTCTCCTGAAGCCAGAAGTGGTAGCTTGATTTCATTCTGCCAATCCTCCAAAATCAATAGTGTGAAATACTCTAGTTTCTCCTGTTTGTGGTCTCCACACAAAATTCTCATAAGTGTAATTTCATTCTCATGTTAAATATTCTTTCTCCAAATACTTTATATTTGCAATCTGTAGCTTTTTCTCCAAATACTTTGTGGTCTCTTCCTATGCTTTTAGACTTTTAGTTGGACATCAAATTTAGCAATGTGGTTCTCATTCCTAGCAAGATCAACTTCTCTTTCTGACCTTGTAATTATTTGTCAACTCTTCCAACCAGTTTTCCTCTAGTTGGATCTTGGTTATCATAAGAAAATTTATTTTGGTTGATTTTAATCAGCAAAACTACCTTGTAGCCTGCACTTTGAGGTGTACTCCTTACATCAAATTTTCCAATCATTATTACCGTAACTTTGGTAGATTGAGTGATTGATATCATGCTTTGCACGTTCCTTAGCTTTCATACACACAGAATCATCGACTGCCAAGCTGTATATGTTTATAGCGTGGCTTTACATGCTTATACATGATGATATCTAACATAGGGTGTTTATAGGATGACTGTATATGATGATATCTAACACCCCCTTTAAACTCATAAGGATAAAAAACTGAGTTTGGATATGGTGAATAGTTTGTGCCTTGATAAACAGATCTGCTAGTTGCTTCTTAGAAGGAACACAAGAGTGTAATATTTCCAGCAATATGCTATGAACTACATGACAATCTACCTTAATATGTTTGGTATGCTGATAGAACACTAGATTTGCAGAAATGGAGATAGTACTTTGATTATCATAGTATAGGGTGATGAGAGAAGGAACAAAGACACCGAGATCTCGCAAAAGAGTGCTGAGTCATTTTAGCTCAACCATAGTATCTGCCATCGCTTGATACTTAGATTCGATACTGGAATGAGAGATCACAACTGGACGCTTTACTATGCCAAGAAATGAGAAATCCAAAAAAATGCAAAAATTAGTGGTGGAGCGTCAAGTGTCTGGATCATCAATTTATCCATCAATTTATCCATCCAGTATCACAGTATGCACGAAGAGATAAAGAAGTGTGCGCTGTATCACAATATGCACGAAGAGATAAAGAAGTGTGCGCTGGGAAAAATAATGATTGGGATATATTGTCATGTAGATGACGGAGAACCCAAACTAGAACCTTATAGTGAGTTGAAGTAGGAGCACAGGCAAAGTGTCTCAAGATGTGCACCGCATAAGCTATATTCGGACGCATAGCAGAAAGATAAGCTAAGGTTTTAACAAAATCTCGATATCTCGTGGGTTGAGATAAAAGATCACCATAATCATGTCGAAGCTTCAAGTTCAACTCCAGCAAAGCGGAAACATAACTAGAAGCAATAAAAGGATCACTAGGTGTAGCACGCTTTAGAATGTCGGCAATATACTTTCGCTGAGAGGAGGTAGCCACAAGATAAGGCGTCTACCTTAATACCTAAGAAGTAATGGAGATATCAAAGATTCTTTATCTCAAACTGACTCTAAAGGTACTGCTTCAATGAAGAAATGACAAGAGAATCACTCCCAGTAATTATCATATCATCAACATAAAGTAAGAGAATAACTTAGTTGGAGATTGATGACTGATAGAAGAGAGTGTAATCGGCTAGACTCTTTAGTAAAACTAATAGAGAGAAGAGATTGTTAAAAACGCTCAAACCAAGTGTGAGGAGCCTATTTGAGACTGTATATAGTACAAGGAAGGAGACAAACATATTCTGGAGGAGCAGAAACGTCAGGAGGTGGTTGCATGTGAACCATCTCAGAAAATCGCTATTAAGAAAGACACTTTTGATATGCATTTGGTACAATAGCCAATATTTAGTAGCAGCATCAATGAGAGTAAATGGATGCTATTTTTGCAATAGGAGCAAAATTTCTTCATAGTCACATTCTCATGAGAAAACCCTCGGGCAATAAGGCGAGATTTATATAACTCAATAAGACCATTAGAGTGAGTTTTGACCTTTTAAATCCATTTGCAATTTACTGGTTTAACATCATAGTATAATAGATTAATGTTTCAAGTATTAAATCTTGTAGAAAGCCTCAAATTCTTCCTTCGTTGTCTCTTGCCATTTTGGATACTTTAACAATCTCATAATACGAGTTAGGTTCATGAATAGAATGAATAGCAGTAAGAAAAAGAGAAACTTTGAAGAATATGTGCTAATGACACACTGCATATAGCAACTAGGAGGATGGCGATCTCGTGGCGGATTGTGATGAGGAGTCTCATACGAAGAAGTTAGCATGAGTGTAGAGGGTTCATCTTCAGGATTGTCTTACAATGGAAATGAGATAGCGGGTGAAAATCAATAATGTGTGACTCAAGAGAATCGTTGCTAGATGCCAATAGAGTGAAGAAGGGAGTAGGTTGAGTACAAGAAGGTACAAGTGCCAAGGGTATAGATGTAGTGGTGAAAGGTGATGATGGAGGGTGAAGAAAGGAAATATTTGTGTCTATAGTATTATAGCAGGAAACATTATCAAAGAAAGTGATACGTTACGAAGTACGAAGTCTTCGAGTGGTAGGCTCATAGTAACGATATCCTTTGTGAACTATGCTATAGCCAACAGAGATACATCATGTAGTGCATGAAGATAGTTCATCTTGTTGAATATCCTTTGTGTAACTGACATTTTCAAAAAGACATTTCCAAAAGTGTAAAGAACAAAATAATGAAACTAAGGCTTAAAAGGTGAAATTGAGAGGTATCTGTTAATATGGAAGATAGAGTGATATTAACAAGAAAAACTATATTTAATAGTGTTGCAGCCTAGAGAAATCGAGGTACTAGTGCTGATATCAAAGGAACTCTAATAGTGTTGAAGGTGTGATGATGTTTTCTCTTAGTAACATCATTTTGCTCATGAGTACGGCCAATAGTGCTGAGAGAGTGTGCCATGTGATTTTAAAACAGATTGCATAGAGTTATATTCACAAACACCTTGAGAACAAAATACCTTCATATGTTTGTAGAACTGATTATGAATCATGTTTGTAAAATCTTTATAAATATCTAAAATATAAGGACGAGCATGCATGAGATGTACGTAGATGTAGTGAGAATCGTAATCAATAAAACGAACATAATACCAATTGTTGGACAAGAATGATAATGGGTTGATCCCCAGATATCAGAATGAATCAAATTAAATAGGACTAATATTATTATTTGATGAGAATGCTAGGGCAGTTTCTTTAGCTAATCAACATTCGGTACAATTCAATAAAGTAGATAATTTTATCCTCCATCAAATTCAGACAAAGGTTTTAAACAATAACTAGACATATGACTTAAACGACGATACCACAGATTGGAAGCAGTAAGTCTATGGCCAATTTTAGAAGAAGAAAGAACTCCAATTGATAAAGTCTATTAGATTCTACGATTTGTCCCAATCTTCAGGCTGATATGATCTTGGACAATATAAGATTTAGAATCAAACTAGATAGTGCAACTAGAATTTGTAATTTTACTGCCAAATAAAAGTTGCATAGATAAGTATAGAAGATGAAGAACGGATGATAATGTTAAATGAGTAGAAGTATCGGAACATGGTATGATGTCACTCACCTGAGTAATTGCGATAGTGCCATTAGCAGTATAAATGCATAATGAATTAGGAGTGAGTGAACAGTTTGTAAGAA